GGAGGTTTATGCAATTGTAGCTGGTGTGTACTATGATATCTCAGTGGATTACTCTAGAGCAGTGGAAGGAATTTCAGAAGAGTGTTGAAAACACGAATGTTGTCCAAGGAATTTCGTGTGCAAGGTATTGGAGTTTGATTCTTCGATATTTCTATGCCAAAGAAGGAATTGAGGTGCCTACTAGTGAGGAGACAGCTGAATTCATGAAGTATCAATTTCCGAAGGAGGTTACTGATGATGCTGAAATCTTTACGCACATTTCAAGGATTCCAGATGCAATGTTACAGCGTGTTGATCTAACAAACTTGGTTCTTATGGAGTATTTGGAAACAATCAATCCTGATGATGAGTCTGGGAATTTGTTGCCAAAAGAAACAGGTGGTCCTTTGAAGAATTCATGCAAATCTAAGAAGGATGCAACAACTACTCCTGAGAAACCTGTTCAGGAGCCCAAGAAAATGAAATCACCAAAGAAACAGACGAAGCCAGAAACACAAGTTTCGACTGTTTTGGTTGAGCCGGTGGAGCCTGTTCCTGATGACCAAGCAAAGGAAACCATTCCATCAAAATCAGGTATTTTTTGAAGAATTAAAAAGAAGTCTCGTGGATCACGAAAGCTTTCAGATGGTTCGTCTAAGTCTTCTTCTACTATGGTTCGTAAACCATATCTGAATCACCAAGGAATTCTTATTCGTAAGGTTCCAGCTCCTATTTCCTCAAAGAAACGAAGAGCTGAAGATGTGGCTTCACGAATTTCCAAGAAGAAGTCAAAGAAAAGAAATTTGGTTCTTCAAAAGGAATTATCTGAAGGGGAGAATGTTCCTGAAACACCTGAAGCTACTATTCTTAAATCAACATCTACTCTTGAGAAGACTAAGGTCACACGACCCGAAGTTTCGTTAACCGCGTCAGTTACTGAGGAGGTTCAAACTTCAGACATCTCTACACACGTATCTGATACGGTTGTAAATGTCAACATGGGTGAAAGAGAGTCTAATAAAGAAATTTGTGTTACAACTCAAGGTATTTATGCACCTTCTGATACTTTCGTTTCCTTACCTCCGTTTATTGTTCCTGTTTCGAAGACTACCATTCACCCACTTTGAAACAATTCTCACTCAACCAATCACTACACTTTTGTTCTCATCACAAACCACTAATCCACTTCAATCTACTGAGGACACTCATATTGAAGAAGGGGGATTTGGAGGAACATTTGACGAGATGGAATTTGATGAAGAAGAAGAAACTTTCCCAGATAATATGCTAATGACGATGAAGCAGTTCAAGATTCTGAATAAAAAGATGAATTCGATTATTCAGTCTCAAGATGACATGGGTGGAAGTCAATCTTTCTCAAGTTTGGAACTTGATGTTATGCTCAAAGCATTCAAAGTCAGGATGGTTAGTAAAGTTTCTGGAATGCTTCAAGATTCTGAGACTAGAATTTTGGAGAAGGTGGACCAGAATGGTAAGTGTAATGAATTACGAGTGAAGTCTCAATCTTCGAATTTTCTGGGTGAAGTTCAAGATTTACGAAGGATGGCTAAAGAACGACATGTCTTGTTTATTAAAGATGTGAAGCAAGTACGCGCAGATGTCAATTTCAAGCTTCAAGAACTTCGTGAAGATATGCTCAAAGAGATTGCTAGTGCTCAGCATGACTATGCATCTCTCAATCAAAAGGTGGATATTATTTGTGATGCTGTCACAAAGTATGTTAAAATGTGTATGAAAGTTTGAGTCCTCAAGTAACTCAACTTTCTACGGATAATACAGATGTTTTTGTGGAGCTTATACTTTGTTAAGGAGTTAAAAGACTTATCTGTCAAGCCTGTTTCCTCTTCGATCATTACCCCAGAATTTTTATCTCAAAAGTTTTCTCAATTCGAAGCTGTTCTGCATAAACAGTTGGCTCCATTGTCCAAGTTTTCAAGTCTTCTACCAACAGATGCCCCACCTGTTGTCACAGGGGTGCAAGGGGAGGAAGAAGAAGGTTGGTAATGCGAAAGTTGGTGAGGTTTCGCATGAAGCTGTAAGACTGTTGGGAAAATTATTCATACAAAGATTCCATCATCAAAGCCAATAGTCTCAACTGCTGGGCCTGTTACTTCAACGATTGTTACCACGATGCCAATTCCAAGGCCAATTTCTAAAGGAATTATGATTGGTTCTTCAGCTGAAGGTGGTAGTAGCTCGAAGCCAAAAGAAGTTGTTGATAGCTCTTCAATCAAAGACAAAGGAAAAACAATTTTGGTCGAAAAGTCGAAAGAGGAGAAGAAAGCTGAAACTGAAGCTGAGTTGGAGAAGTTAAGAGTGGTTCAAAGTATTTTGAGTCTTCGTGCAAATGATCCACCTGGAATGAACAACGGTGATCCTGCGAAGCATTACAACTACGAAACAATCGAAGTAAGAGTTGCATATAATCATAGGTATGCTTTTGAGAAGAAGCCGAAGTAAAGTTATGCTGTTGTTAATTCTGATATGAAACAACTGGATTTTCCGGTGAATGAAATGATGTTCATCATGGCTCAGTACAAGATTGCTGAGAAATTTGATAATGATGATGATTACACATATATGAAGCTCAGGTTTGATGTTGTTCTTGGCAAACTTCCAGAGGAAATATGGTCACTTGTGAAAATAAAGAAGGTGATCAACATTGAGAAGGATATTCTGTTCGAGAACATGATGTAGAATCTTCGTTTTTATGTTGCAAGGGTGAATGGTCAGGAATGTGATTTCTCTATAGCTGATTTTCCATTAATGAACTTGTATGATCTTATACAAGTTCATTGACTTTGAAAGATAAAGATGCTTCGTATCTTTGAGAAACTGATCCAGAAGATTTTCGTCTTGGTCTTGCCCACATCAAAATATTCATAGATAATTACTATGAGTGTTTGGCCCTAACTGATGTGGAGTTGGCTACTGCGAAGGGATTGGAAGTGAAAGTACCCATGGAACCAACGAAGACTCAACCTGAGTTAAAGAAGTATGCTGATGGGGAGATTTGCTTGAAGCCATTCGGTTTGGTCTTCGCAGGGAAGGATAAAAATGGGAAGGCCAAGAGATTCTTATTCCAGGCATGCGAAGTAGAGAGATATACGACGTCCCAGTATACGAACTTTATTGTTCGTATGAATAGCTGCAAAAGAAAATATGAAGGGACAAGAAAGAGTTGAAGAAGATTATTTCCTGGTACTCAGAAATCCGAAGGGTGATGCTGTATGCTATACAGATTCTTCTGAACTGAAGAAGGTCGACATTATTACAAAGGGGGAGAATGTAAGGGTCGAAGACCTGTTGTAATATGTCGAAGACTTATTGTTATTTTACAAGGCATATTTGTAACGAAGCTTAGATGTTTAGTCCTTGTAATTTTTTGTGTGCTTTCATGTTTCCTATAAATAGGGACATTACTTAGAGTTAGATAAGAGTCTTTGTATGAACTTGGCTACATACTCTCTGTAACATTTGAAAGCATAATAGAGCTAAAACCAGATCATATTTACATCGTGTTTTCAAACTACATTCTTTTAACTCTGATTTGATTCATACTTGATTCTACACTTCATCAGTTCCAAGCTTTGTTGTGTTTCGAGGTATTTTCAGGTTGTTAATGGAGGATTTTGATTCATTGACGGTGGTTTCCGACTAAGGCTCCGACAAAATGTAGACGGTGAATCGTTAGGTTAATTTAGGGTTTATGCCTTGATCCGGATTGAGCAAGAAACCCCTCTACCTGACCGTAAACGAGGAAAAACCTTTACCTGACCGTAAACGAATAAAAATCTATACCTGACCGTAAACGAGGACATTCTTTGACCGTAATTGATTAAAGTTTGACTTTCACCGTAAATGGTTAAAGTTGGATTTTGACCGTAAACGTTTAATTTAAGGAAATTATTATGTTTAATAAGAAGTTATTCTTCTTATTACTCTTAATAATTAAATTTTGATTCATAATTAATATTTTTTGGACAATTATTTTTCCTTGAATCATTCTTACTTGACTCGTTTGGTGCAGATAAATGGCAGATCAATTAAAGTTCTATGAAAATCACAATGTTGTTGGATTTCTTATGGATCCTCCTGCTACTCATCGAGAATGCAAATCCATGATTGTGGGCTTGAATAGTTGCAGAATTTCACACACGTTACGTTCTAATCCAGTCGTTTTCAAGGACCTAATTGTTTATTTCTGGAAAATTGCCTCTGTCAATAACAAGGGTGCAGTTGGAGCTGGCACAATTGGATCAGTGATAAAGGGAATTAACATAGTTATCTCTGAACAAATTATTCGAGATACGCTTGAATTTCGTGATGCTCCTGCATTTCCAACTGAATATCCCGCTAGTAAAGTGAAGGAGGTGCTTGAAAAAATGTGCTATGAAGGAACTTATCCTCCAACTATCAAGAAGCAACTGCCACCTTATTGGAGGTTTCTAGCACATTACTTTGTAATTTGTATTTCTGGAAGGAAGTCAGGTTTTGATGAGATTTCTCAGACTGCGACCTCGGGTATTGCCGCTCTATGTATGAATTGGGATTAAAACTTTTCAAAGTTTGTCTTTGAAGAAATGAAAAGAAATCTTCAGGGGAAGAAAAAGGATCAATTATTAATGTATCCCAGGTTTCTTCAAATGATCCTAAATGAAAAATATTCCCAATTTGAGAGGTCATCTGACACGTTAGAGATGAAAGCTTTGGGTCCCAACACTTTTAGACTCATGAAGCAGTCTAGAAAGTCAACTAAGATCACTTTTCAAGGAGCAAGAGAGTTGGTTAAATTTGGAAAGTTTGCTGAAACGCAAGATGCTCAGACTTCTAGTACTCAAATTGCAATAGTAGCTGAATAACATGCAGTTCCAACAAAACCAAATCTCAGTTCCTCGTTTGAGATTTCTGATGATGACAATGACAATGATATTGATGATGATGTTGGTGATACTGACGATGATGATGACAGTGAGAGTGATGATGCAATAGATTTTTGTATGCATGTACCACCGCAGAGGTTTGCTAGTAAAGTTTTGGATACTCCAGTTGAAACTGAAAAGGATGTATATATTTTCAAGCATTCAAACGATCCCACACCCGATCAGATGGATGCTCTCATTTCTCAACTACAGTCAACTGCAAGGAAGCCTCCCCAAGCGGTTCCTGTTATTTCTGCTTCTCCATCTGAGAGTGATAAAATTGATTCAGACGCCTCCTTATTGCCAAGAATGCGAAGACGTAACGATCCAAGGTCGGGAGTATTTGTTTCTGAACCAGTACAACCATCAAGCCCTACTGAAGAACCAACCCTAGTTTCTCAAGTTAATCAAAGTCTTTCTATAGGACTAGCCCAGATGGCTCAAGATGATCTAAGCCCTATTGTGGAACCAGTCCATGTCTCTCAAGATGATGAAGGTCCTTCTATGGAGCAAGACCAAGTCGTTCAAGAAGATTCTCAGAGCCCGATTTTTGAACCAGCCCAGGTTCAGGATATTGTTCAAAGTCCAGTTTTTGGCAAAGTTTCGATTTTCTGGACAATGAAGAAACATTCACCTCACGAAGTTCCTCTGCTCCATCACTTCCAGAGCATGATGCCAAATCTGTCAAGCTAGTCAGGATACTTCCTTTTCAAGATTCTATTTCTCAATCAAAAGGCAAAGGAATATCTATCGGCTCTGGACAAGGGAGTGATGAATATTCTCATCAAATTATCTCTGAGCTTAAACAGGAGATTGTGTCTTTGAGGCAGGAATCAATGGAGAAGGACTTTCTAATTGGTAATTTGGATGTAAGATTATCTAGTCTTGAAAAGGAGAACTCTGTTAAAGATACGAAGATTTATGAACTTCAAGCAAATCTTGGTGGTATAACTGCTTTACTCTTTGACTTGAAACAACGCTTACATCAAAAGTTTGGTGATGATTTCCAACCTTTGAGCTCTAAAGGCGAAAAGATTACAGCTTCTACTTCTAATCCAGTTAATCCATCTTCTCAAGGTGTAAGTGAGAGGGTTGTTAGACCATCTCCGGACGCGAATCTTGACACTTTTTTAGCTTCTGGTCCTTCTTCTGCTCAAGAAAGGAGAGAGAAGCAAGCACGAATTGAGGAGCTGAAGGGGAAGATGTTAGTTATAAAGCATTAAGATCAGCATGTTTCAGGTGATCACCCTGAAATGTTTTTGAGGGAAACAGGAAAGGATTTTACTGACAAGTATGGAGATCGATCTGTCATTTTGTGTCACACCCCAAAACCGGAACGACGGAAACATTCGGGGGTGGAGGATGTCATATTTAGTATCACAAGATATGCATTATAGTAAGCAAGTAATGAACAACCATTTCTTTAGAAAGAAAGTGTTTACAATGTGTGTGTTCACAAAACATAGAATTCATAAGCAAATAACAAAACAAGAGTTGAAGCTATTATGCTCCATCTTCTGAATTCCCAGCACGAGTACCTGTCTACTAGGCTCCTGAGAATACAAGTTATTTGAAAGAGTTGATCAGCAATTAAGTTGGTGAGTTCATAAGATTTTAGTGATGTAAGTAAGTTGTAAAATTTTGTTGAAAATGTAGTTGTAAAATGTAGTAAGTTGTAAGTTCTGTTTAGAACAGTTCGCCTGTTCCTCTAGAAAATCCTATATTTCCTACTTTAATGAAAGATAAGTAAAAATGACTCTACAATCCTTTCTATGAGTACTAAATGGATACAAGTTATATAAAACACAGAGCAAACAAACAATCGACTGTGCGCATCTGCCCTAAGCCCACAACCAAACAAGGAACAGGAAGTAAGGCAGATAGCACACA